GATGTAGGTTCACACCACTCACTATCTAGTGCAAGGAACCTTCCAAATCAAGTTGAAAGCCTTCAAGGAAGCTGGTGATAGACCTCAATTCAAGTACAACACTCGGAAACTGAAGGATGAAACTACAAAGGAGACCTTCAAAGCAGCCATCAAGACAAAATGGGAGACGTCGAGGGACATCCCTGAAGAAACCTGTGTAGAAGAACACTGGAAGTCTTTGAAAGCTATGTGGAAAGAAACCTGCACATCAGTATTAGGAAGGAAGAAGAAAGAAGACAAGGAATGGATCTCGACGGATACCTGGAAGCTGATAGAGGAGAGGAGGATGGTGAAACAGAAGATAAACCAGTGCATGGATGCTCAACGATAAGAGGAACTGAGCACAATGTATAAAACACTGGATAAAGAAGTGAAGAAGAGTGCACGCAAAGACAAAAGACACTTCTACGACACACTGGCAAGTGAAGCAGAACAGGCTGCAGGTAAGAGAGACCTGACGACATTGTATCAAATAACCAGGTTGCTATCAGGGAAGAGACCAACACAGATGAAACCAATAAAAGATGAAGAAGGAAATTTAATTACAAAAGAAGAGAAACAGAGGAAACGATGGGCCGACCACTTCAAGAAGCTCTTGAATCGACCACCACCTGCACTTCGTCCAGAAATACCACCTGCAGCCGCTGAATTACAAGTGAACATAAATCCCCCAACGAAAATGGAAGTTCTGAACGCCATAAAGCTACTGAAATGCGGGAAAGCAGCAGGACCAGATGGAATACCGCCAGAAGCACTGAGAACAGATGCAGAGACAACAGCGGACATGCTCACACCACTATTGCAGAAGGTGTGGAGGGAAGAGAAGGTACCTGTCGATTGGAAGAAGGGTTACCTTGTCAAACTGCCGAAGAAGGGAGACCTCAGTGCTTGCAAGAACTGGCGAGGAATCACTCTCCTGTCCACCCCAAGTAAAATATTAAGCCGCATCATCCTGGAGAGGCTTAAAGACGCACTGGATTCAAAACTGCGACCGGAACAGGCAGGCTTCAGGAAGTACAAATCATGTGCTGACCAAATTGCAACGCTTCGTATCATCATAGAACAGAGCGTAGAATGGCAATCAGCTCTCCACCTCAACTTCATCGACTTTGAGAAGGCCTTTGACAGCGTCGACCGAGAAGTAATTTGGAAACTGCTTCAATACTACGGAGTACCGCAAACCTTTATCCGCCTCATTCAACAACTATATGAAGATGCTACATGCCAAGTAATCCACAATGGGAAGCTCAGTGATGCCTTTGAAGTGAAGACAGGAGTGAAACAAGGTTGCCTACTATCCCCCATGATATTCCTTATTGTGGTGGACTGGATCATGCAGCAAACAGTAGGCAGCGAGAAGAAGGGGATACGCTGGACTGCGGAAAAGAACCTAGAAGACTTGGATTTCGCCGATGACTTATGCCTAATGTCACATAAACTTGAAGATCTGCAGGCAAAAACTAACAAGTTGACAGAAGAGGCAGCTAAGACGGGACTTCAGGTGAATATAGAGAAGACAGAAGTGATGAAGATAACGCACCACCAACATCAACAACAACAACAAACTCCAATCACCGTCAACGGGAGAAACTTGAAGGAAGTAACCTCCTTCACTTATCTAGGAAGCACTGTTTCAACTACAGGCGGGACGGACGAGGACGTCAAAGTCAGTCAGAATCGGAAAAGCAAGACAGGCGTTCATTAGCCTGAAACCAGTGTGGGGATCTTCCGCACTCAGCATGTGTAACAAGATACGGATTTTCAACACCAACGTCAAGTCAGTGCTCTTGTATGGCTCAGAGACTTGGCGCGTCACGAAAGGCATTTCCAATAAACTACAGACATTCATCAACAACTGCTTACGCTCGCTGCTGAAGATCAGATGGCCAGAAAAAATAAGCAACAAGGAACTCTGGGAACGAACCAACCAAGAACCTATCACGCAACAAATATGCAGGAAGAAGTGGAGATGGATTGGCCATGCACTGAGAAGGCCGACTGAGGACACCACGCGTCAGGCCAGTCGCTCGAGTGGAATCCCCAGGGGGAGCGACGAGTTGGGCGTCGGTGTCGAGGGTGACATGGAGGAGGTCGTGCGAGCAGGAAATGAGAGCTTCTGGGCTGTCGTGGGACCAGGTTCAAAAGATCTCGGAGAACAGAGGTCACTGGAGGCGTGCTACTGAAGCCCTATGTTCCACTAGGAACCCAAGGGACTAATAATAATAATAATATAATACATTCCTTTTAGGTTTCATGGTATCCAGTCCAGTGTCAGTGGAAGTGAGCTAGTTTACTGCCCTTCTGTTATTCTTTGAGTCAGTTAGAATCGTTAACCATATTTTCTGGTTAGTAGAAATGTAGTTGGCAGCATCTCAGGAGGCACTCAGGTAAACTCCAAGAAAATATATTGTGCGTTACCATCTTACAATATTTTTTAATTCTACGCGCTTCTTCACTCAACCGATTCGCTTCGATGCCGTTGAAATTCGGAATGAGCAGCTAATACCATGCTAGGTCTCCCGACTGTCGTTAGTACCAAACTGTCATACCATGACCTTTGTTCTGATGGTCCAATTCAGTTGCTTGAGTAAAAAGAGGACGAAAACCCACATTGGGTTGTTAGACAGAGGCTAGTCGGCTGGTGAGCACCCTACCAAGGGCCAGTGTTAAATATATGCAAACTTTCGTCCTGTCCACTTGAAGCAATATAATGTTTGCTACTGATGTTGTATAAAGTATATCTGTTCTGGCCTATGAAATTGGCCTGCTTCTGTTTCAGAAGTTAACGATTAACATTTTGACGATCCAGTGGAAAATGCAGCGTATGATTTGTAGTGTTATTTGGATCCTACTGAGATTGCATCAGCCGTCTGTCAACTTTCCCCAAGTATGACGTTGTGAAGAGGGCAGTGTTCACTGAGAGCGTGCTAAACTTATTCATTGACCTCGGCGCCGGCAACATATATGGTCCTGAGGGGCTAAGTGTTCACGTAAATGCACAACCAGCGAATGTGGTCGCCAAACTGTTGTCGGTAACGCATAACATACTACTGAACCAGTCAAGATCACCAAGAAAATGAATGGACGATATTAGTGGCCACGTTCGCAAAATGAACCCAGGTAATCCATTACAAATCTTCTTCTGGCTGATCTCACCATCTTTGGTGTCAACCTAGCAAATCTGCAATGCATGCGCTTGGTGTGGGCGACTTACCACTTGTTCCGGATATGTGGAAACTTTTACTACCCACATCACAGCAGGAAGGAGAGTTGAAACTTGATGGCCGTGCCCCAAATTTGTGAAGTCGCCCAGCTCGAACGTAGGCAGAAAGGTGTTTGGCACGTTATACAGTAAATAATGGTGTTCCACTGTTCAACAACCAAGAAACAAACTTGGGAGAAACGCAATCCTCAGCGATGTCCAGGTTTTACTACCTCGTCAACATCTCGGCTAATCATTTGACCCGCTTTCCAGCCATTTTCAACTTTGATATTTAATTTTTACCTGGTTATCTTTTGGTGCAAATAAAATGCGCTTCAGACCTACGCTAGCCTGCAGCTGTTGAAATTCCCTTCATGGGGTTGTAGTTCAGGTACGTAACAACATCCTCCCTGATGAAGGGGAATAGTCTGTTAGTCTTCAGTGGGACGCCACGTGCTGCAAACTGGGGGTGGGCAACCCATGGGCAAGGCTTTGCGGCTCTATGAGGGTAGCCACTCCCCTACGGGAGGCCTCAGTTGATGGAGATGGCCCTGAGCTGAGCTGAAAGGATGGAAAGGTTCCTCTGGGGCTGTCATAGGCTGGTCATCGGCCGGTCATCCAGCACAAGGGCCAGACCAGATCAACCACGGTCAGTGGCGAAAACACTCCCTCGTGCAAAAACCAACAATGATGGTTGTCCATGGCGTCCCGGAGCTAGCGACCGGCACATGAGGCGGAAAATGTAACCATGGCGCCAAGTAACGCCAGTGGTTATCATCAAGGATACGATTAAACGGAATAGCAGCACTGGGAATCCACAGGAATCCGCGATCTTAGAATATGATAACAGTGGCTTCACCCAAGTTGATGGCTGTCAACTTCGGGTGCTCACAGTTCCCAACCACGGTACTGCAGACATAATACACTGTTGAGGTCACGAACAAAAGGTTTTTTTCGGTATTGTGAAAGCAGGCCTAGAACGCCGAGACAACAGCAAACGGCAGTTCCTCTTTGTTCTCAGGACCAGTACAGGTCCAGACTGATAACCTCTCAATATCCACTATACAAATCACCTCAGAAGAAACCCAGATTAGGACGATTCCATAGGCTGAGGAACTTGTGAGGCACTTATCCCAAAGAAGGAGCTAACCGAGCGAAATCTTTCATTCCGTTACCAACCATTTGATGTGACAAGTCCAGCGAACATCCAAATTTCTGTGTCTTATCCCTCAGTCATACGTTGCTACCGATACGCTGTACGCCGCTGACTGATATAAGAAGACAGAAACGGTCCCCTTAGATGGTAGCAAATAGTAGTCAATTTGAGACAATCTAAACTACGAATGATTGTTTTGTTAGTTCATGGTGAGGCTGGGAGTAAGTTGTTACATGTGGCAGGATTTTAGCCAAGAACGTTTCAGTACTGTAATGGATATCGTTATCAGTGCATCATGGTTTTGCAACCACAGTTCATAGGATAACTCAATCTGAAAACTGTCACCCTGAGCTACATATTTTCGTCACAATTCATAGTCAAGCTAATTAACAGTGCACTTGGTGATATCCAGCTTTGGCAACCCAATAATCGAGGGCTAACTACTGACTTCTAGTGCCAGCCAGTAGTAAAATATGTGTGATTAATCATTCATTGCTTTCTGTATTTCCCCTTGAATGGGAAGATTGAAATTTGTTTAGTAGTTTCGAAGGTTATGTTGAGATCTTGTGCCCTTTTAAATCCCCTAGCGACCACAGTAACAGAATGTCAACCTCCTGGTCACCTCTGTACTTGCCAACTTCTGAATGCATCAGTGACCAGACTCGTGGAGTCAACCTCAGATTGGAGTTCAAACATATTGATTACTACCCTCTTGAAAAGGTTTGCATGAATTTTAGATTTATATTTCTGGTAAATAACTTTTAGGAGCCGGTTGATTCCGAGTATGATTTGAGTATTTTCGCTTTTGATGACACGAGCAAAACAATTCTGAGCAATATATGGACATTCAGAAAACTTGAAAAAAATGTTAAGGAAGATAATTGTGTTTCGTTCGTTCTAAGGCAGGTAAGGTGTTCATTGTTAATCAGGTAGTTTCCTTAAGTCATTGCATTTTCGCTCAACAATGTTGAACAGCTTGAAATATTTTGTATTTGTACTGACATCTTCCAGTGCCATGGATATAAATGCAAGCTCGGAAATCGGTTGGTGCTCTGTAAATGTTCAAGAAATGCTTCGTAGTTCATCGTTCCCGCATTCTTACAGTGCAAACCTTTGCAAAGGATCATGTCGGTTGGTTTACATATTGCCTGAAAGTAAGTTTAGTCCATGAACTATTTAAAGTGATTCTCAGTTTATGATGCTTCGATGGTGATTCGGGAAAAGCATTGCATTTATTACTCGATTGATTGCAACGAGGATCTTGAGAACTGCTTGTACCTCGTTCCTGAGAATAAATTTGTCCCCTTCGTTGCTCATATTCCTGGTATAATTAGAAACATGGAATTAAAAAAATGGAGCACTGGGGACTTCGTGAAGATTTACATTGAAGATATATCAGTTACCATGATTTCTTCTCAAATGGCAGAGTTTGAAAATTCCTTGTGTCTGAAGTTTTTCGATGATTTGGCTATTGCTTCTAACCAACACGGGGCGCTGACTTCTGCAAAAATGCAGGTTCTAGAGAGACGAATAAAGGTTTGCACTTTTTATAAGTTATCGTTTAACTGCTTTATGTTCATAAATATGGATTTCCGAGCTGATTCCCCATTCTCACTTCATTTATTCTGTTTTTCTGCGGGCACTGTTGCGATATTGGCAGTGGTTCCATCCTCGTATTATCCGATTTAACCTTCTGCAAATAATGGCTTGTTTCGCCAGGTTTATCAGTTTCATTTTATTTGACTACCAACAAACTTTAGAATTTAAGGTAGTCTTTCATTTCATGATGAGACCAGACAAATTTTGGGACAGAAATTGCCGTGTTTGTAATATTTCATTATGACGTTTTTAGTGTAACTCCAACGAAATAGGGACGTTGCAGGAATAGGTGCAGCCAAAAATTTAATGAAGCTAGGTACATGTTGCGAATGCATACTGTTTTCAGGGGAGGTAACTTTAGGATACACTTCACTACAGTTATATTCTATTCTCTTATATCTCCAGAATCCCCGACATAAGTAAATTAGTTTGTTATATTACCGTTTTTATATCACATATGAAATAAAGAAGTAGTTGAATAAACCTCAGAGGTACACGCTTATTGGTTCATGGGTCACTTAGCTACGCTTCTTCGCTGCGTCTTTATTCATTTTTATGCAGCAAACTCAAACTTTTATGAGGCTACTAGTAGCGATAAGTGAGTTTGTTACCCAATCACTTGTTCATCGGGAAATGCTTTTGTGATAGCTAGTTGAAATTAACTACGGTTTTATTCAAGTCCTGAAATTGTTGAGCCAGATTTTCAGATTCAAATTTGTTTCTAGATTGACATTCAAGATTTTTTATTCCCCATTTACCCATTATTACATCATAGAATTTGTAAAATATGGGGAATATGGTTCATTAGGTTGAACCTTTCACCTTCAACCAAACAAATAGAGGTCCATCTTATCAAATGTTTAGCTTTGGGATGGGATCATATCCTTTACACAATAGTTGCAGCTCAATGTGTAGTAAGTAAATTTTTATTTGACCGATGTTTTGCATTCAGATCATGAAGTGGTGGTTTTAAACGAACTGACGAACTTAAGAAAATTGTTTGTCACTTTATAAGAAGCTCACTCTCATAAATGATACGCATTTAATGTACATTCCAAAGTGTTATCAACTCAAACGAGAAAAGTATTTTGTATCCTCACAGATTACTTGTTTGGAGGACAAAAGTATTTTGCTAGAGGGATAAACACATGATCAGATGTCGAATTTCAAGCTTTTATTAAAAACTTTGCATTTAAACTGAAGTCAATTTAAATTGTTTCCCAACTCAAAAGTTCCAACTTTTGGTTTTCATTGCAACTTCAGAAGTTATAAATCAATGAAACTTAATAAATTCAGGTATATTTATTTTTTGTACAAGTGGATTCAGATAACTTTAGGAAAATAAAACCTTTGGAAACAAATGAAAATATAGTAAACTTACTGACGATTACAACTTAAACTGAAATTTTGTGTACGAGATCATGATCAGTTATTGGTGGTTCAGAAATTGTCTCTAAGTATTGCCAATTTTTCACCGATTACCTTTTATACATGGAATCTATCGTATTACTTTGATTGCCTTTAACTGACTATATTGTTTGATGAGAATGATAACTACCTTGCTTACGATACGAAACAGTTTTTACTGTGTGTTTCCATTAAAGTTATTGCATTAATCATCGAATGGAATGTCAAAACATTTTAGGTCTTTTTACATCCCCTGAAAGTTCAACTAATCTATGTCACAAGTTTGTTATCATTATCAAGAAGTATAGAACGTTTTATGTGTCATGATTTATGAATGTTTATGGGGCATCAATAAGTTAGCTTTTCTTCATATTTTTTCATCAGTTAAACGAAAGTTCCTTGCTTAGTTTCACTCCATGTTGTTCTATAGTTATCTTCAGGGTTAAATAAACTATAGATAATGGTATCAGTAGCCTTATCAAGATGATTAAATTTGAGTTTGAAATTAACATCAAAGTTGGAGACATTTTGCATTGTATTTCACATCTGTATACCTGCTTTAAAAAAACAAAGATTGAAATATTGTGAATAACGTTGTAGAACTAAACATGGTTGAGTTAGGGAAAAAAATAATTAGTTTGGAAATTACGATATTTAATTTCTATCAGTTCAACAATTATTCTATTTAGCTTCGTTTTTGTTATTATTCGTAACTGGAACACATATATCTGAAGATATTCTAACATAGTCGAACAACTAGACCATAAAAAGTGCTTTAATTTACTTCGAACTGATTTGTTTTATTGAATACTGGATCCTGGAATAACTTTGTTAATTACAGTAAAATTTTCGTTGTTGTTTATCAAAAAAGTAAATTCAGCTACTTTTATTCAAATAATTATTTACCCATGCACAAAGTCAAGGAAAGATGTTGAACTAGTTACCTATTCAATGCTCTCATAGTTTTTCAACTTAATATTCGGTATTCACTAATAAAAGATGATAGGTGGGGAAAAATAAAAGTAAACGTTTAAGTTACTGCATTATAATAAGGTTGCCAAATTGATATGAATTATGCTTAAAAGATGCCTCAGATACTCTTACCATGAAAATAAACACACTTATCAATCCATCTTGCATTACATCTTGTTGTCATTTTACATTACTTCCAGATCACTTGTTGCATTTTTTCAGTATCTTCTTATTGAACTTTAATAGTTACTGCATACTGATCCTCAACTTCTTTGTATTGCTTTTTTTGTTTAAAACTTTCTTTTCTTACATTCTTATAAACTTGGTCACTAAAATCATATTAATAGATACTTGTGATCCCCCATTATTCTACTGAATCGAATTACTTGACCTCTATTCGCAGATGGGCTTCTATGCGAAGGCTTCAATACTGCCTGAATATTCATTGTTACAGTTTGCTTAGTGGCTAGCGGTGAAATCTGGGACGCATGTTCCGTCCTATTTGGGACTCATTGGCTGTGTTTAACTGCACTGATTCCTTTCGTCTCAGGGGCCTCAATCAAAGGGTCTACATCTCCCCTACATGACTCAAACCAACATTAAGATATCTCATTGAGGAGTGAGATGTCTTGATCTGACCATCCTGAATCCACTTCTAGTCTAATCCAGCTTCCTGTAGCATGGTACATAGAGGTAGGCGGTCGCTGGGGATGTGAAAATGTAGAAGCTATCTTAGCTGATGAAGGTTCATAACCTCAACAATCGAGTTGACTGTCTTGTCTAGTACCCTTTGCCTGATTTCACAATGGTGCATTTGTATTCACTCAACTTTTTCTGTAGCTCGAATACTTGCACTATCCGTTATCTTCAGACTGTTTACTCACTCATGCAACTTTATCTACCTTGATATCACTCTTATTTTATCCACGTGTTATTTGTGTGCTAATATGAAGAGTGGAGATTTGAGCCGATGCCTCTGTATGCTACGTTCTACTTTATTTTGTCAGCCAACAGATACACCCCAATGAGCAACGGTATTCTACTGAACCCAGTGTCTCTGGTGCCTAATAGGCCCATTGGACAGCATCTTATCTCTTGAAGTCATCGACATTTCATTTGAGTCTCAATGAGAACATCATCATGCACTGGGACACACATACATCAAGCCAATGAGTCCCAAATAGGATGAAATGTGCGTTTTGGATTCCACCGCAAGCCACCAAGTTGACTTTAATGCCTAAATAAGTTTTGTTGTTAAGACTAGACCACAGCTTCTTCAAAAACACTTAAAGAATACTTGACAACATATAATTACTTTAGTATGTGCTTCTGAATATATTTCTAGAGAATAAAAACTACATATTAGGCTTTAGTTAATTCAAAAAGCTTGTAAAGAAAGTGAACGCTTGCAACAGTAATGAATATGAATATGAACCATGATAGGAACTGAAAATAATGTAGTTTTCCTGTAAGTCTAGCTTTCTCTACAGTTTCTAGATACAAATGACAGTGTTACTGATAAAAATGATACTTTGAATCATGTTTCAAAGAAGAATTCTTAAAATGTGGTGTTACGTAACCTTTTTTATGTGAGCACAAATGTGATTAATATACACCTGAGCTATTCTAAATCCTATAGATATTTCTGCACAATCGTTATACTGTTGTTCAACCTATACCAGTTATCTATTTGGATACAGTAATTGAATCGGACAGAGGATCAAGTTCAGGGAGAAGAAAGTCAGTCAGTCTGTCAGGTAAATTTTATGAAACTTTTATTTATCTTTTCAATGATCTCAGAGTCATCATCAAAAACATACCTTATGGCACGCAATGACGCAGAATTATTTATACCTCAGGATCCGAAGTGTGCAATCGTATTTATATTGGAGTATGTCTTGTGTGAAGTAAGCTGTTATGACTCACTTTTGTCTTTATTTCATATAAGTTAACTGTTTGAAGTACTTTTAATAACCAGAATATGTTTGAGCCTATTTGCCTAGAAAATTTATCTTCCTAATTAATTCAAGGACATCCTCAAAGTTTGTCATAATATATAAATATTTATTTCAGCTTATCAGTCAGACGTGTATACCACACAGAGGATTAATAAGGCTTCTTTGGATCACTCAATGAATAAAATCTCTGTCAGATTTACGTTTAATTAGGATTTGGTAGTGTATAGAATACAAAAATTACATATCCAGTTCGTTTTTCAAATATGCGTACAGCACTCGTAAAGCTTCAAAGTATTTCACTAAAAATCACTGTCATATATCTTTATATAACACATTTATGCTGCTTCTATGCTTATTGTCACAAAACTATATTTCAGAGTTTTGCCTCTGGACCTATAAGTGTTGTCTTGCCTCACACCAAACTCCATTAGACGTACATTTAGACAAGCCCGTCACTGAATCGCACAGCATCACCCTTCATAGCTAAGTAGAGGACAAACCAGATAGATACAAAGCTCAACATTCTCTCATCTGGTCACCAAGTTAGTATTCATAACACATTTAAAGTTATTTATCATATTCCTTCCGATCTCACCAATACTCTATGAGGTCATCTTTTACATACAGCAGAAGTCATAAGAATCCACCTAAACAAGCTAAGTCTATGTGTTGAGAAGAAATTCGTATAGCCTCTTCTTTTGCCTTCATCATCTGTATAGCCTATCTATTACAAGACTCTTCCTTTCAATCATCTCACAAATAATTATAACTAATATTTTAATACCTCTTGGAAACTGCTTAAACATTACGGAGTGCCACAAACCTTTATCAACCTCATTCAACAGCTATGTGCTATATGAGGGTATTACATGCCAAGTGATTCACAATCGAAAGCTCAGTGACGCCTTTGAAATGAAGATAGGGAGGAGTAAGACAAGGTTGCTTAACATCACCGATGATCTTTCTCATCCTCATCAACAAAAAGCACCAATCCCCATCAACGAGTACAATCTAGACGAAGTTGTCTCTTTCACCTACCCACCTGCCTAGACAGCATCGTCTCAGATACAAGGGGTGGCGGTGGCCGTGACACAGATGAATACATGAAAGCCAGGATGGGGAAGACAGCAAGACAGGCTTCCATCAATTTTGAAATAATCGGTGTGGAGATCCACTGCACTCAGCATAGAGAACAAGGTTAGGGTTTTCAACACTAATTGAGTCAAGTAAGTCAGTGGTTCTATGTGATGGTTGAGAGACTTGACGTGTTATGGAAAGCATTTCCAACAAACTGAGGACATGTATCACATCAACAGCTACCTACGCTGCCTCGATACTGAAGATCGATCATATGGGTAGAATTATTATTATATTATTATTAGTCCCTTGGGTTCCTAGTGGAACATAGGGCTTCAGTAGCACGCCTCCAGTGACCTCTGTTCTCTGAGATCTTTTGAACCTGGTCCCACGACAGCCCAGAAGCTCTCATTTCCTGCTCGCACGACCTCCTCCATGTCACCCTTGGACGTCCAACTCGTCGCTTCCCATGGGGATTCCACTCGAGGGCCTGACGCGTGATGTCCTCAGTCGGCCTTCTCAGTGCATGGCCAATCCATCTCCACTTCTTCCTGCATATTTGTTGCGTGATAGGTTCTTGGTTGGTTCGTTCCCAGAGTTCCTTGTTGCTTATTCTTTCTGGCCATCTGATCTCCAGTAGCGAGCGTAAGCAGTTGTTGATGAATGTCTGTAGTTTATTGGAAATGCCTTTCGTGACGCGCCAAGTCTCTCACCATCACATAGAAGCACTGACTTGACGTTGGTGTTGAAAATCCGTATCTTGTTCCGCATGCTGAGTGCAGAAGATCTCCACACTGGTTTCAGGCTAATGAACGCCTGTCTTGCTTTTCCGATTCTGGCTGACTTTGACGTCCTCGTCCGTCCCACCTGTAGTTGAAACAGTGCTTCCTAGATAGGTGAAGGAGGTTACTTCCTTTAAGTTTCTCCCGTTGACGGTGATTGGAGTTTGTTGTTGTTGTTGTTGATGGTGGTGGTGCGGCATCTTCATCACTTCTGTCTTCTCTATATTCACCTGAAGTCCCGTCTTCGCTGCCTCTTCTATCAACTTGTTAGTTTTTGCCTGCAGATCTTCAAGTTTATGTGACATTAGGCATAAGTCATCGGCGAAATCCAAGTCTTCTAGGTTCTTTTCCGCAGTCCAGCGTATCCCCTTCTTCTCGCTGCCTACTGTTTGCTGCATGATCCAGTCCACCACAATCAAGAATATCATGGGGGATAGTAGGCAACCTTGTTTCACTCCTGTCTTCACTTCAAAGGCATCACTGAGCTTCCCATTGTGGATTACTTGGCATGTGGCATCTTCATATAGTTGTTGAATGAGGCGGATAAAGGTTTGCGGTACTCCGTAGTATTGAAGCAGTTTCCAAATTACTTCTCGGTCGACGCTGTCAAAGGCCTTCTCAAAGTCGATGAAGTTGAGGTGGAGAGGTGATTGCCATTCTATGCTCTGTTCTATGATGATACGAAGCGTTGCAATTTGGTCTGCACATGATTTGTACTTCCTGAAGCCTGCCTGTTCCGGTCGTAGTTTTGAATCCAGTGCATCCCTTAGCCTCTCCAGGATGATGCGGCTTAATATTTTGCTTGGGGTGGACAGGAGAGTGATTCCGCGCCAGTTCTTGCAAGCACTGAGGTCTCCCTTCTTCGGCAGTTTGACAAGGTAACCCTTCTTCCAATCGTCAGGTACCTTCTCTTCCTTCCACACCTTCTGCAATAGTGGTGTGAGCATGGCCGCTGTTGTCTCTGCATCTGTTCTCAGTGCTTCTGGCGGTATTCCATCTGGTCCTGCTGCTTTCCCGCATTTCAGTAGCTTTATGGCTTTCAGGACTTCCATTTTCGTTGGGGGATTAATGTTCACTTGTAGTTCAGCGGCTGCAGGTGGTATTTCTGGACGAAGTGCAGGTGGTGGTCGATTCAAGAGCTTTTTGAAGTGGTCGGCCCATCGTTTCCTCTGTTTCTCTTCTTTTGTAATTAAATTTCCTTCTTCATCTTTTATTGGTTTCATCTGTGTTGGTCTCTTCCCTGATAGCAACCTGGTTATTTGATACAATGTCGTCAGGTCTCTCCTACCTGCAGCCTGTTCTGCTTCACTTGCCAGTGTGTCGTAGAAGTGTCTTTTGTCTTTGCGTGCACTCTTCTTCACTTCTTTGTCCAGTGTTTTATACATTGTGCTCAGTTCCTCTTGTCGTTGAGCATCCTTGCACTGGTTTATCTTCTGCTTCACCATCCTCCTCTCCTCTATCAGCTTCCAGGTATCCGTCGAGATCCATTCCTTGTCTTCTTTCTTCTTCCTTCCTAATACTGTTGTGCAGGTTTCTTTCCACATAGCTTTCAAAGACTTCCAGTGTTCTTCCACACAGGTTTCTTCAGGGATGTTCCTCGATGTCTCCCATTTTGTCTTGATGGCTGCCTTGAAGATCTCCTTTGTAGTTTCATCCTTCAGTTTCCGAGTGTTGTACTTGAATTGAGGTCTATCACCAGCTTCCTTGAAGGCTTTTAACTTGATTTGGAAGGTTCCTTGCACTAGGTAGTGGTCTGAACCTACATCTGCTCCTCTTCTTGACCTTGTGTTAAGTAGACTGCGTCTCCATTTTCTTGAGATTGAGATAAAGTCGATTTGATTTTTAGTGTGTCCATCTGGTGAAATCCATGTCGCTTTGTGGATATCTTTGTGCCTGAACACACTGCCTCCAATCACCAAATCGTTGAATGCGCAGAATTCTGCAAACAATTCTCCATTCTCATTCATTTCACCTAGTGCCTCTCGACCCATGGTTAGTTCTCTTCCCGTGTTGTCCCCTCCCAGTTTGGCATTCATGTCGCCCTCATTAGAATTTTGATATCGCCAACTGACGTCTTGTCCAGTGTTGATTGAAGTTGTCTGTAGAAATCCTCCTTTTTCTCTTGCTCTGCATTATTTGTAGGTGCATAACATTGTATGATTGTGACCTTTCTTCCTTTTGAGTTGAATCTTGCTGTCATGATCCTGGAGGAGATTGGTTCCCACTGCATGAGAGCCTTCGATGCTCTTGAGGACATCATGATAGCCACTCCCTCAGTGTGCTCGTGGTTGGCGTCTGGGTGACCGGAGTAGATTATTGATTCTCCAGTTGACAGTTTGGAGAGTCCACTCCCATTCCATCTGCTTTCGCAAATCCCAAGCACTTCGATGTTATACCTTCTCATCTCCTTGCAATCTGGGCTGCCTTACTGGGTTCAAACATCGTGCGGACATTCCATGTCCCCACGTTTACTTTCGCTTTCATCGAGAGAAGACACATCGGCCAATTGGCTTCCCGAAGGCTTTCACCAACTGGCGTCATTTCGCCTCTCCGATTCCAGCGGGGAATAAGTTTGTTTTCATTTTTTATATTTTGTTTGTGCTTTGAAGTTTCTTTAGCGGTTAGATTTGTTTTACGGGGTAGGGTTGCTAGCCCTATGCCCAACCTTCCCTCTTTACCCGGGCTTAGGACCGGCTAGTAACTAGTAAACTAGTTAACCAGGCGAGGTTATATGGGTAGAATAATGAGAATAAACAGCAAGGAACTGTGGCTTGCTGGCGGCGAACCAATGAAGAACCTATCGCCAAATAAATATGTAGGAAAGGTGGAGATGGACTGGATTGGGCATACTCTGAGAAAAATATTCGGAGACGTCACATGCCAGGCAAGAGCAGGCCATCGGGTAGAACCTGCATGGGAAATGACGAGTTGGGCGTCCGAGGCGACGGTGACATGGAGGAGATTTTGTGAAGAAGAAACGAAATCTTCTGAGCAGTCATGGAGCCAAGTTGAGGAGAATGGAGAGAAGAGAGTGAAATGGAGACGTGCTACTGAATCCCTATGTTTCACTAGGAACCCTAGGGACAAATA